AGCCCCATCAGCATGATACCATAAAAAAGACCATTTTACTATTTAATTTCCACAAAAACATATAATGTGTTATTCATACTTTTATCATTATTAGTCATTATGATTGGCATGCCCAGATTTGGCTATCCGGCACACCAATTTAATCACCTAGCCTAGCTATAAAGTATCACTTACACGATACACACTACACCCTTCACCTTGCAGGGTAGTGCTGCAGACAACATAATCGTTCACTCTTATTTTCAATAAATCACATTTTAATAAATTATTAAAACCATAAACAATTGAATTACCCTTTTTATACGATCAATAATTGTCAAAAGTTAATAAAGAATACACATGAAAACTGTTCTCTATAGCATAAAAAGTTTACTGTAACTAATTTTATAGTTGAGATACCCCCCCCCCAATGTCATAAGTATCTATATGCAAGGTACACATGTGAACTCCAGATAAGGTTTCATGTATAAATAAACGTTAGTGCATAGCCAATGGATGAGAATATCAGAAAGCTTAAGATAGATTTAAGTCTTACCCCCTGATCAGGAACATATATCTTCCCAACTTTCCCTTGGATAACATCTTTGAAAACATTTTTCTCCTGATAATGGAAACATAATCAGAAAAAAAGTAGCAAGAGTATATAACCATTTTCTTCAAAGTGATATGGCCAATCAAACAAAGAATCAATAAAAACCTTCTTCTTTGTTTTATCAGAAGCAGTTCTCATAGCCTCTTTCTTTAACATCTCATTAGGAAGGCGATGTCGTCGAAACACCAAATCCATAGATGGTCCAACCTCAACCAACTCTATTCTTGGAACAATGGTGCCAGATTTTTTCAGTCGTAATGCACAATGAGTTAAAAAGACCTTATTTGAAGACACACTTGTGCATACATAAACATGATCCAATCCAGCCAGATTCAAATTCGTCACAACCTGCATAATGTCAAGCTTATCACTGTCAGATGCAATTGGACGAGAGTTCCTGAAAACATAGAAGAAACTTCAAACAAACCTCCCCGTGAAATAGATCTAGTAAAATTTCCTTCAAATGCTTCAATTCTTCCACACTCTCAAATCCTTCTCCAATGAAGGCAAAGAAGGGTTTTGTTCCAATTTTTGGAGCAAACTTTTTATCAAATGCAAAAGACTCCATGCTTTTGAAGTTCTCCACACCAAGCTCAATAAGATCATAAATGTGGTGGTCATAAGCTCGCCCAATTACAAGATTGTTAGGGCGCTTCTTTGAGTGAGACCCAAACTGCAGATAATACAGCGTATATAGAATTAATTGCATACAAAGATAATTTCAGAAAGGTTGCTAGCATTTCTTCCTTAAGATTGTATACAACATTATAATAATATAGCAAAATAACAAACCAAGTAAAATCCCCAAGCTGGGGTGGAGTGAGTATGCAGAGACCTTATCCCTACTTAAAAAGTAGAGAGGTTGTTTCAAGAGACCCCCATCTCAAAACACAAAGGGACCCAGTAAGAACAAGTCAACAAGTAAAAGAAAATTGAAAAGAATGTGCAAAAGAGAGATTCAAAAAAACCACCAAGTAAACACTCCCTAGAAAAGTAGAAATAGCTAATGTAACAAGTGTTACACAATGAAAGCCCACCCCGGCAGTCCAACACCACCACAAGCCTAGACTTTCAAGGCCATCTATGAAGCTAATTTTGTTCTGAAGTGCTCCTCTCTAAGGCAACATCCTCAGTTAAGTTCTGAAGCTGCAAAACTTGTCTAATCACCTCACTCCAAGTCTCCAACTCTTGTTGGGTTGGCCTCTACTCCTCGACTCCCTACCTCAAGCCTCTTGCACCTCCTCACTGGTGCATCCTTACTTCTCCGCATGTGTCCAAAAAACCTCAGTTAAGTTTATTATTATTATAAAGTTATAACCTATTTATTCTCTCTTTTTTTTATTCAACAAAAAATTTTGTGCATAGAAGGTAAGGGATCTCCCACTACAGATTATGAATGATTTGATAAAAAAACCTGTTCACTACATTCAGTTTCTCGAAGATTTGCCATTGTTATTTATCTTGAGTTGGTATTTGGAAAACACATCAATTTATTAATTTGAAAATGTTCAAGATTCGACAATACCTTCAAAATAAACTCATAAAAATACAAAATCTGTTTGTAAATTTTCATTCGAAAAAACTATTAAACTAGTTGGTGTGTTCATATACCAATGTCACTCACATAAGTTTATTGGGCACTTACTATACATGAAAAGCAACAACACCAGAGCACCAGTAACAAAAAAATACATGAAAAAGGATTAACTGACCACAAAAAGGCTGCAATCGGTCTTTTGAAGAAAAAACTCCAGGGACGTTTCGCCTCCACTTTCGAACGGCCTGATATTCTCGTTCTTCCTACTATACTTGACAGAATTATCCCTCTTAAGTTGATAAATCTCAGTCAATAAAGCATTCAGTACATTGTTAGTTTTTGAGCCGTGAAGTATTAAGGTCTTCTTCCCAGTTTCCACCTGCCAGTGTACATATCCCAATCAAAATCTGGATTTTCAAGCTTAGATTCATGGCATCTTCAATTAATACATTAAAATTTTGAAAATCAAACTTACGAGTTTAGGAGCACGTTTTTCAAGCTCTCTCCTGATTCTTCCCTTCGTTGGGGTCTTTATTCCAATCATTTTCTAGCTGAAATTGTGCAAGCAAGGAGAAGGGAACGAAACTGAAATGAGCAAAAAAATTACAGAAAGATACGGGCACAACTTAGGGCTTTTAGGGTTCTTTGTTTCTCAGTGGCGCAAAACGTCGACCACTTTCCCGGCGATAAAGAAGTACTAATGGGCCGTTATTGCACTGTTGTTTTAATGGCCCAAACAACGAATTTATTCGACGTAGCTTATTTTTTCAACCTATAATTTATTCATCTCATCTGATTAGTTCTAATCTCATTGAAATAATTTCTGATCTTGAGGGTATTTGGCAATGCGCTGTTTTTAATGGTTTAGCGTCTGCTTTTAGTGGAAGTGATTTTACTCTGTCTGGCATGCCAGCTTTTGCTTTTTACCACCACTATTTTGTACATAAAACACTGTTTCAGAGAAGCAAGTAAGAGATGCTTTTGCTTTCCGCTTTTGTGAAAACCACTTTATCAACAAGTTAATCACTCCCAAACACCATCTAGTCTGGTCTGACTGATCTGATTAGCAATAAGTAAAAAAATAAATTGGGGCGAACATGACTTAAATTTGATATGATTCATTTATAGTCGTATTTGATTAGATCCATTCAAATCAGATCAGGCGTATTCAAGTTACATCGGGAATAAAAATATTGAAAATAATATCAATATTTTGTCTAAAAATTAAATAATAATTATTGTACGTTTTTATCATGTTACATTATTTCATGGTACATAAAACTAAATTATTATTATATTTATACAATCCAATGTTTAATAATACTAATGTTTTATATGAATAAATAAAACATTTTTTATTCCGAATAAAACTTATTATTAGTATTAGAATTGTTATGCAATAGTAATAATAAAAAAAATTGATATGTTTTCAAAAATAACAATGCTCTTGAAAAGATGTTGAGTACTACGGAGTAATAAAAGAAAGTGATTAATTTTTCTTTAAAGAGAGCGAATATTCTCGATCACATGTACCTTTTAATAAAGAGAAAAATATAAAAAATGAGAAATATTTTCAAATAATTGAGCAATCAAAGAAAATATTATGTTAGCACGGTTTCTAACATGATTAACACGACATCTACCATCAATGACGTCTCTAGGGCCAACCAACCTAGAGAGGTGCTTTGGGCCCCAGATATTTGGGACCCCATAATTTCATTTTATATGCGTGTGTGTGTGTATACATGCACGCATGTGTGGTGGTGTTTTTCATCAATTGATATTGAACTAATTTTTAGCACTATTCAGTCATACACAAACATCGAAATTATACACTTTTGTTGGGGGTAGTATTTTGCATGACATACTCTTTAATGTCAATGTAATTTCCAAAAACATATATATGTATATATAAAGGATAGTGTCAATGAAATATGTATTGAAAAGTTACAACAGCTTGTGGTTCTTTTTGGGGAGGGAAATTTATCATAAGTGAGCCATTAGTAGAAAAAAAATTTCATGAAAATGTTGAACAATTTCATAAATATAAAAGACATTCTTTATTTTTGTTTAATGGGAGAAAATTGAGGTCACTAGAAGATGTTGGTTTAAACAAGTCATGCTTAAATTAGTCAATATAGAGAAATTGAAATATATTCCACAAATAGTTTAGGGAGTGGCTTGGTGTACCTCAAATTTTTTTGCTACTTTAATTTAATCATCCGTATGATATTATGTGTTCAAAAGAATCGTGCTAAGTCAAAATAAGAAGAACATGCTTGGATGGATGGATTAATAACCACAAAATTTTAGAAAGTTTTCAAAGTAAAATACAAAAAAATACAAGTTGCATTGAACAAATAAAAAATATCTTTATTAAATCAATGTTTATACACCAATGTTTCGAAAAAAAGTTTACACACCAAAAGGTGTAAAACGAGTAGTTAATTCAGAACACAAAAGGTTAGGTTCTGGTTTGAGTTCGATCGATCCAAGCCTATTTTAGATTCATGTTCTAACCATTTTAGCTCATTTTGGTTCGGTTCCTATTAGGTCCTAAGATTTATTTCGGTTTTCTACACGTTTCAATTAAACTCGGTTACGATTCAAGATATAATCTAATCAGTTCGGGTGCATTCCATTTCAGTTAATATAGATTTGACTATAAAACGATTGAGGTAGATATACTCGGTAGTACATGATTTTGTTGTGACACGACATAAAAACTGCGCATAGTACATTGTTTTAACCAACACTATCGGACATAACAGGTTTAATGTATATTTCTCATGTATTAATATGTACATATAATATCTTCAAAGGAGAATGTGTGAAGTCAGAAATCAAAATATGATGAAGCTTAAACAAACAAGACAAGGGAACCCTCTATTAACTCTAAAACTGGTTCTAAAAACCCAGTGAAAGTGGAAAGATCAATCAATGCATGAATAAGAATCGATTCGTTCTTGGAAGGGTCCAGAAAGAACACTACAACAACCCAGTTGGATCATCATTTAATAGAGAAACCACATACCTGAGAAAATATGATGTTTTCAGGCTGGGCAATCACTCAGGTGTTTTCAATTGTGGCAGCCACGACACGCATTTGAGAAGGGAGCTCGGGCTGATGACCGTTCCTCCTCCAGAAAGCCCTTTTCCACCAAATCTGGAATCCTCTCTGAATGTTTGGGCAGTCATCGCTAGAGTTCAGAAACCTATCGAACCATGCCATTAATATTTCTTGCTGCCAAGCCATTGGCAGAGTTAAGATTGTACTGCTGAGTCCATCTTCAATTAAATGGCGATCGAGACCTCTAGACGCCCTCCTCATCCAGCCAAAATCCTCATAGAATGGAACTAACCATGTCTGCATCAGCAAGCATCTGGTTTCCCTGGAAGCTAGCAGTTTCCCTTTCCCTATACCAATAAACAGCCTTGCAGTTACTCGGCTGACCTCATGTCTGTGAACTGCGGGCACTTTACAATGTGCCTCGGATAATTCAGACTGAGAAGCCCAAGTCTTCAAAAAGTCAACGGCTAACTGCCTGTCTATCAATATATCCAACACCCAATGCAAATTATCAGCCTGCCGAGAAATCTGTGCCACATCTTGCAAGTCTCCATTCGCTGCCTTCAAGAAATGGTGTCTGAGTAATTGCAAGCATGCATCACAAGCCGAATATAGAGATTCCTTTGTCAAGTCGTCTTGAGATGAACTTTCATGGAGCATTTTAGAAACTAAGGTTTTCATCTCCCGCCTTGCCTTCTCATCCTTCCCTTCAAGAACCACATACAATAGCTTGAGAAGAACTTCTTCGTTGCCAGACCCTTCCGGTGTCCTGCCCATAGTGTCAAGAGAAACCCTCTTCAAAACTTCCCCAGCTCCAACACCTTCAAGCCGAAGCTCAGACAAAAGAGAAGCCACCTTTTCTTCCTCATCCTCAGCCCAAGGAGCAGCCTCCAAGTACTCCAAACAAGACAAAACCCCAGCATCAAACCCGATTGCTGCCGAGACCTAATGGATGACATTATTATGGATGAGGATGAAGAGAAATATTGGTTAAGAAGATCAGTGAAAATAAATCAATGGTTTTAGATACAGAGCAATATTTCTCAAGCTACAAACAACATAGGTACGCTTAGTTAGAGACCACGGAGAGTGACAGTGATATGATACAAAGGCTTTTAGGTTAAGTGTTTCTCATCATCCATCATCAGCCTTATCCCTTAGGACCCTAAAAGTTATTGTTTTGATCTTCTACACACCATAACATGATAATTAAATGCAAGGATTGTTAAGAAGAAGAGTAACTGTTTTCGGATAAAGAGCAATAGTTTCCAAGCAATAAGTGAAACACATAGGTATCTTTAGAGAACACCATGAATGACAAAGGTAAAAGGCTTCTACCTTCATCGCTTCATATAAGCAATCATCAACCTAATCCCTTAAGACCAAATAAATTTTTGTTTTGATCATCCTCAGATATGTCACACACACTATAACATGTTATGTTTCCATATAATAGTCCGGGCCATCGAAGTCTATCATGATGATAAGTTTTATGTAATTAAATTATCAAGCACACAATAAGTCAAGAACAGTTTAAATTTGTATGAAAACCTTTTAGCATAAACTTTACCTTTAAGATACCAAGGACTCTAGGAACATCTTCTTTCATAAGCTTCTTCCTCAAATCCTTGCAATACATTAGCCTCAAAGTCTCAATATAAATCTCAATGTCATCACAATCAGCAATCTCTACTATATATGGAGCTGAAGTCTTCTGCTGCTTGGCCCATTTTTCAGACAACTTCACCGCAAAAAAACGACTATGGGCAAGCAGGATCTCCCTGTGAACATTGATTGAAACACTCAAGCCATCCTTCGAACTCAAAGTAAGCTTCACATCACTGGAGGCCGAGTCATTGAACTGATTCCCAGGACTCCTACAGGCCAAAAGATCTGAAAGCCGCTGTTGCATTAAGGCCTGCTTGTCTAGGGCTGGCATTGAATTGGGCCTGTGGTTTGAGGAAGATATTACCCCGTATTGAATCTGTGGAGCGGCCTGAGGAGCCGCTCTGGGGAGGTAATCTGGCTCGCTTGCCATCATCTCGAAGAGTGTCGGGCTAGGCCTGTTCTTATCCACCGATGGAGGAGGCGACATTGGGTTTAGAAGACCGGCAGTGAGAGCAGAGTTGAATTTGCTAAGAGACGAAGGGAAGGCGTCGTAGCAGGCAGGCGAGATGGAGGTGGCGCCGCCGTAGACAACGGAGGAGGCAGCGGTTGGGGAATCCATAAAGTGATGCAATGCACTCGGGAAGTACCGGATCTTATGATTTGACGAAGATGGCGAAGCAGAGGCCGGCGGCGGCGGAAATGCGGCAGAGTCTTCGCCGGAGACGGCGGGGCAGCACTCGGGAGAGACAAACGCGGGAGAGTCGATCGCACGATTTTGACTTAGCTGGAGTGCGCGCGTCTGACTGCGAGCCGATATCTCCGAAGAAGAAGACGACGACGACGACGATGAAGAAATCGTGTCGGCGTCGGGATCGGGGGCCGGAGAGGTGGCGGTAATGGTGGTCTCGCGGCAACGGCGTCGTTTGGGCTTGATGGTCTGGGATTGGAAAATGAGATGAGTAGCAGTGGGAGCCATTCGAGAGAGGGAGTGAGGAGAGGATATTATCGTCCGTACAGTGGATGTGAGGGCCTCGAATTTCGGGTAATTTGGTGCCCGTTAGGGTTGACAGAGCAGACCAATATCCCATCAATGGATCACCTGGAAAGAGTGTAATGGAGTTTTTTTCAATGATAGAACTTCATCTTTTTGAGGGCTACTCGGAATCAATTGGACTATTATTTGATATAATTTAAATTAGGTTTTAATCACATATTGATGTTAAAAATTAAAGTCTACATTTAGGGGTGTATTCAATTAAGATTTTATAGGATATTTTTAGATTTCAAAAAGTTAATGGATTTGAAAAATTTGTAAAATCTATGTAGAGTTTAATTGATTTTTTGTAAAATCCATTGTGAGTTACATAAATTTGTAGAATCTATATAGAGTTTAAAAAATATGTAGATTTCCTATTGCTCCATGCCAAGAGGAGAGGCACTAATATGTAAGAATTGTTCCAATACCTGCTCCAAGACTTGTTCCAATACCTGCTTTGAAGAATTTGCCTAATCCTTGTTGGACGGAATCCTAACCAGTAACCCTAGACATATACGCGAGCAACTAATGAGCAAGTGAAGAGCAGTGATCTGTGCAAAGGAGAGAATCCAGCGAAAAGTATGGAACTTATTCCACCATTGATGGAGAAGAAGAACGGCAACCATGGTTCTGGGATTCTTCAGCCAAGGACAAAAATCAGATCTTCGGAAACTCGTTGGTGGAGAAGAACGGCAACCATGCCGAATTACATGGACGGAAGCCGGATGTGAATAGATGGAAGTCCATAGAAATCCAAAGTTGTGAGAAGAGATTTCCATGAGTGAAATATAAGCATTTTTTGGGAGAAAATCCAACAAAATCCATAGACTATTAAAATTCATAGACTCTTGAATACCTCAAAATTTTTAACGACTTTTGAAAATCTAAGTTGAATACTTTAATATTTTTAAAGACTTTGGAAAATCATTATTGAATACCTTAAGATTTTTAAAGACTTTTGAAAATCCAGGTTGAATACACTCAAATTTTAAAAATCCAAAAAAAATCCTACAGACTCCCGATTCAATACACTCCCCTTAGTACTTACAAAAAAATCTATACTTGTTAGTATATTTGTCTCCAGTTCGATTCACAGTAGTCAAGAATCAAACTCGAATGTTGTCTTCTTGACACTCATTGTCTTGTCAACTGTGTAACACTCATCGAAGAGTATTTTTTGAACGGAAAGAGAATTAGAACAGAGATCTCAATAATGATTCAAGGGGTCAAACATTGTTCCTTTCATGAGAGTTGGATCAAGTAGATAGTAATATCTGAGTTCGATTCCTGAAAACTGCGCTGGGAGGAAACTATGTTAAGTATGGGGCCTCTACGAGTATTAGGTTTATGCTCCACTCTTTGCCACCAATCTGCGATTAAAGTCTAATTTACCTATTCTCAGTGATCGTCTAGCCGGATATGAGGGGACCTTCGAGGACATGGCTATCTTTTTTTGGTATGTCAAATTGTTTAGTGCTTTGTAAAGTATATAGACGTTTGCTCGATTCATCTTGTACTATTCTTAATTTTCAAAGGGCAGCGAGGGAGAGGATAAGATTTATGTGTTTGTGTATGTTGTTGATTTAGTGATTACTAGTGAGAATATAAACTCTATTGTGTGAACTTTTTCCCTGGTTTGAGCGGTAACAAGCTCACTCCCCAGGATACATGGGAAAATTCACCTAAGTTTGAATCTCAACGGAAGCGGAAGTATTGGCTCTTTGTGCGTCAATAAGTTGAAAATTGTATAAACATATACTACCTTACAATAGAGTCAATAACATTCAAAAAATAAATTAATAAACTTTATTGTGTAGTTTAAATTTTGAAATACTTGAGATCATAAGTACTTTCATGGTATTAAGGTTCCACGTATAGTAGTTTAAATTTTGAAATAGTTGAGAAATTTGTAGTTTCTTAAGATTTATGGGAAAATTTGTCTATGTTTGAGTTCCAATGTAGGCAGAGGCATCGATTCATTGTGCCTCATTAAGTCGAGAAAAGTATGAATAGTTACAACATTGTAATCGAGTCAATATCACTCAAAACCAATAATTTGAAGAACTTTTGACGTATTCTTTAAATACGTAAAAGAAATTGCCATAAATAAGAGTAAAATTTAGAGAAAGAATGTAACATGCTGGTGGAAAACATGACATCAAAATTAGTGACAAAGAATGTGACAGGCTGGTGGAAAGCATGACATCAAAATTCACTTCCTCGACGTCCAGACAACTCTCTTATGCTGGGAAGGCTAATTTGATCAATTAAATGTAATTTGGGGTTGTAAGTTTTTGAAGTGGAATTTTCTTAATCCCCACAAAAGTTATGGAGAAGATCTAAGCACCCTGCAGAAATTTCATATGGAGTTCATCACATGAATACAAAAAGCATCCTTTAGTGGCATGGGATGATGTGTGTTTACTCAAGAAGAATGGGGATTAATTACATAGTCCTATAGAACAAAGCACGCATCATGAGACTGATATGAGACATTGCACATAAAAAGGAAAGTTTGTAGATAGAATGGGTTCATGGCAGATATCTAAAGGACAGTACCATATGGCAGTGTGTGCTTAAGAATGACTCCTATTTTAACAAGAAAAAATTATTATAAATGAGGCTTTGTTTTCAGGAATGGAGAATAACATCTCATATACTCGAACACAAGGTTATAAATTAAATGGCTTTTGGGATAGAATCAAGAATCTAGGGGGTCTAGTGTTGTTTGGAATAAGTACCCCATACCCAAACACAAATTAATTACATGGCTTGTACACAAAGATAGACTACAAACTAATAAGAAAAGGCTTAGTAAGTTTCTCCCTATTGACACTACACAGGACATATATAATTGAGGACCTGGAAAAGCTCAAACCTAGCAAATTTAGATCGAAGATTTTGGCTATTTTTTATGCTTGTGTGTATACCATTTGGAGAGCGAGGAATTGGAGGATTCATAAGAGCATTTGCATTTCTGATGAAGGAACAACTTAATGTATATTGTTCGATGTCAACACTTTCTTAAATTCTCAAGGAGCTTTAATTTGTGATATACTCTGAAGGTTGACTTAGACTGGTTTCAATTGGTATATTTTTGCTTTCGTTTAAAAAAAAGTGGCAGAGTACATGAGCATTTTATTATATTTTTTTGGTAATATACATGGTCATAATTGGTAATGTAAATGCACTTTAAATCTTATTTCAGGAATAAAAAACATAGAATTCCTATTTCAGAAGTTTTTCATTTTCAAATTTTGACATATTTTTTAAATATATAAATTCTATTTTTTATTTACATATCAACTGTTAGATAAAATAAATTTAAAAAAAATTGATACTCCCTCCGTCCCAGTGTGTTTGTCCAGTTTGACTTTTTCGAGACAAACTGGACAAACTTTGAACTTCAATTAAATAAAAACTGTAATGTATTTTAACATAAACATGAGTTTATTGGATTTATCATATTGAGAAATTTTAAATTTGTATTTCATTATGCTAATATGCAATATAAATTAAGAGTAATTATATTAGAGTTCAAACTTTATCCTGTTTGACTCGAAAAAGTCAAACTGGACAAATATTTTATTTCGTTTTAGAAAAGGAGTATACTAATTCACGAGCATGAAGAAGCACGAGGCTCATTTTTTACTCCCTCCGTCCCAAATTATTTGTCACATTTGTATTCCCGAGGTAAAATATCAAGTTTTTTCAATTCATTTTATTTACATATTGGTAAAGAAATAAAAAATAAAATTTACATACATGAAAAATTCTTCGAAATAAGAGGTGTCAAGAATATTTTATTTTATCAAATAATCAATGAAAACGTCGAAACAAACAAAAGTTTTCGACACTGCTGAAAAAGCAAGTGTTGTGATTAAATAGGGAGGGAGGGAGTATTTAAGAAAGGAGTGTACTAATTCATCCATGAGGCCCATGTCCTTGCGTGTGCTCCCCACCCCATGCTCTTTGGTTGGTCGGTGGGGGCTCATTATCACTCCCTCAGCCGACACCCACTTTCTTTTTCTTTTTTTCATCCTCTCATTTTCCTCCATGTAATCTTGGACCGATGTAATTTGTATTATCAAATCACACATGATTGATTATAATTTGTGTAATCAAATCATACACTCCCTCCATCTCCTAACTAAATTTACAAGACATATTTAGATGATTATTGTATTCATTTTTTAATTCCATTTACGTCATTTTAAAATAAAATTTACATATTAAAAAATTGTCTTAAATCCTCTATAAATTAAATGGTAATATAGTTATTTTATTTTAATAAATAGTCAATAAAAGGAACTATTAAAAAAAAGAAAAAATTGGTCCGTAAAGACATGAATAGAATAGTGTTCGTGAATTTAGATTTGGGGGGAACGAGTTTTGTTTTTCAATCCATTCATTTATTCCGTATTATAGTAAATAATTAAAGAAACTTTGGAAAACTCCCTATATAAAAGAAAAAAATTTATAAAAATATCAAAATAGAAGTCCCAAGTCTTTTAAGACCAAAATAAAAGTTCACACTGTCATTTTTACACTACCACACTCACCACATTGTCATATTGCAACTGTCACACTATCATTATGACACTGTCATTTGTCACCACCAACCACTAGAGTATCGCTGCGGACCTCCGATAGTTGAGGGATCACACTATCATACAACATTGTCATCACTTTTCCATCACACTTCCAACACATATTCTAACATCGCATTGTCATTATACTCCTATTTTGGTCTTAAATTTTGATATTTTCATGTTTTTTTTATTTCTATCCAGAATGATTCTTTAAGATTTTTTTGTTTCGTACTACCTTCATTCCATATTAAAGTCTATTATGATGTTTTAGATACATGTGAAATTAAGGGGCTGTTTGGCAACTTCTGAATGGGTAAATGCTGAACCAGTAAGAGGTCTGAATCATTAAGTGCTGAACCAGTAAGAGGTCTGAACCATTAAGAGCTAGTATATTGCTTAACTATTCAGAGGCAAATGTCTGATCAATTCAGATAACAGCTCTTAACCATTCAGACTCTCTATAATACTTAACCATTCAGAGGCAAATCTCTTAACCATTCAGACATCTGAACCATTAAGAGGCTGAAACAAACAGTCTGAACCATTAAGTGCTGAATCATTCAGACATCTGAACTATTAAGAGGCTGAAACAAACAGCCCCTAAGATAA